AATTACTGATTACCAATTCACGGTATATTTCACGTAAAGTTGAGTGATAATACAAAACCATTAATGGACCTTACTGACTACCATAACCATAACCATTAATGTTCTCAAACCATAAGTAAAAACGTTCTAATATAGTTCTCTTTCCGAAAATGTATGGAGAAAACAAGAATTTGGAATGGTAATGGTTCTTAACAACCCATTATTTGTAAGGTCTGCTTCCAAAAAACCATAACACATAAGGTTAAAACTTTATCACACAAACGTTCATGTAAGGTTCCATAACCATTTCAGTTGAAGTTTAGCAGGGATTATAAACAATTTATAACCATTATCGGTAAGGTCATGTGATGGTTCGCGTTTATGCGGGAGGTTCTTTCGTAATATTCAAGTTCGAAAGTTGTAATTGTAATTGTAATTGTAATTTATTATCGTAACGTTAGCCTTTCAGGAGACTTACTTTATTCACATACAAAACTGGGGAGTCAACAGACAAAAAATCTATGAACATCGATTAAATTTTGAGGTGCATTGAGTTACTCGCGAGCTACTCGCTGCAAAACAGCAATTCAGAGTAAACCCGTCTCACCCCTTGAGTAAAAGCCTGGTACATGGAACTACCGAACTACCGTCTGCTGCTTGGTCTTCTGCGCCTTTATCACCGCCAACCGTTCCCGCTTGGCCAGGTCCCACCGGACAATGATTCCATTTTTATTCGCCACGTACAGAAACAGATCATTGTCAGTCAAACACAGACACGTCGGTGACAGATGCTGTCAAATACAATTGATATTTCGATATTGTTGAAATAAACATGCTTTTCAGTTTTATTTCAAACATAACTATTTTAGTTTTAAATATGCTTTCAATTTACTTTGAATAATTCATGTGCTTAGAATATAAACATTTATATTTTTGATTTCAATGAACACAATTCGTATCCGTGTTGCGGGATAATGATCCGCAATGATTGCAAAACTGATGTTTTGGATACATTTTAACAACATAAAAACTAACTATTTTTGATTTGAAAATTTGACGACACCTCGCTATGATTTCAAAATTTAGCAAAAGACACCTCCCTATAGATGTCAATTTTACTTTTGGGAATAATCCTCAAAAATTGGGTTGTTTAACTTCGAAAAATATACTGATTATAATTACTGATCACACTGGTAAATTAGACTCCTTTACGTCATTCTCCTCCGTTCCACCTCGCGCACTTGACTTCAGAAATTTGTGTGTGAAAACAGCAACATGTTTGTGAAAATTAGTGAAACGACTGGAAGTCAACGCAGGAGTGCAAAATCATACGAAATCGGGCAGTTTCTGCACTCCTGCATCGACTTCCAGATGTTCCATTGAATTTGCAGCAAAAATTTCAATTGTGTGTAGCAATCCTCCTGACTTACGCACGCAATCTGGCACTCCAAGAAAGCAACCAGCCGTCTGAACCACGAGGAAGTATTAAGCTGGACTATAGTAGGGTAAACGCTCCTATAGTTGCGGTACGTTAGAAGCGTTAGGTTCCTATAGTTGTGTATTCAGTCTCCATGCACAACTATAGGAACCTAACGCTTCTAACGTCCGCAACTATTGGAGCGTTTCCCCTACAAGATTAGTTTAAACAGCATCATTGCTATTATGCCTCTAAACCAATAAACCTGAGTCCTCTAATAAAAATCTTAAAATATCTGACATATTTTATTTATTACTCATTGATATTTATTCATCAAAATACTGGAAAAACTCAGCAAAAATAATGTAAACAAAAAAATTACTGAAAAAGTCAGCAATTTTTTTACCGACTAAAACGGTAAATTTTGACATTTCAGGGATTTTTCCATTTACCGAGTTTAAAGTTAAACCAAAAACTACTGAGTTGATTGCTGTAAACTCAGCTGTTCAAAAGCCCAGTAAAATTTTACCGACTTCGGTAATCTAAACTCTGTGTGTACACTGAAACAAATCGACATGTACCGTTTATTGGATCCATCTTATAACATAGCAATGTCAGCATATTTATTCATTCTATGTGATGATTGATAGATTCCATTGGATTATCACTTAAAAACTATGACTGCGATATGGAATGATTTCTATCGTAATTTCACATACTTAGTACTTGATAATACTTTGCTTCGAACGTGGTTAGCGAAGGTAAGAAGTATATGAATATTGTCTGATATATTTCATGGTGAAAAACTGTTGATATGTCATGGGTGGGAACAGACATCTAGAAACTAATGAAAAATCATATAAGTTTGCACTATGAGAAAATTCAGTAAAATATACCTGTTTTCATGATGAATATTGCTCACTAAAATATATATCTTATAAGATAATCATGTATATTTTATTGGAGTTGCTTTTACTGATTTTTGACGTTTGTTGATATGTCGCGTGTAAATAGACATGTAGAAACTATTGGACTGTCATTTAACTTTGCAGTATAGGAAAACATGTATATCTCATTGTAATAGCTTGCTTTGATTTTTGACGTTTAAAGATTGTAAACAGATGTATCCCAATCATTAAATAGTCATATAGAAATGCCTTTTAAGAAATCCAACAGCAAGCATTTGTTTTTGCATGTTTTTCTGGGATGAATATCGCTCCCAATAAAATACATCTTACATGATTGTTCTTTATAAATTATTGAAACAATTTTCAACGATGTTAACGTACACTCATTCATATGGTAATTGGTTCCAGAAAAGAATGTATTGAGATTGAAAAAAAAATGATTCTACTGTAATATTTACTTTGCTATGATTCTAATTGTAAGCCTTCTACACGGCTAATTCAGATTCCAGCCCTAAGTAGAACAAACCACACCACCGAAACGGAACATAAATTTGTCAGTGCTATTTGTCTTCACTCTAGCAAAACGAGCATAAAGTTGCACTACATTCCATGTCGGGAGAGCTGTTCTTACTTCATGCTATTTGAACGAGCTCAATCTTGAAGTCAGCCGTGGCCCAGTGGAATCAAGCACAGACACCGAAAGCATCACACCTCAACAGATCTTGATCGAATCCCAAATCAGCTACAATAAAAAAAGGCACAACTGTGAAAGCTCCCCACTGCCTGATGTTTATTTTTTCGAATTTATTTTTAGAAATCGATTAAATATATGTGTCAAAAGAAGAAGTAAATTTCATGTTATTTTCACATAAACTTTACTTCGATTGATTTATGACACATATATTATATTGTGGTGAAAAGTATAGCTTATGCTTATGGGTTTCAAATCCATTTCAGTTAATTATTATAATTTGATCGATTTTCATTTATCATATGACGATCATATAAAAGTTACCAAATTATCAGCATTGTAAATGTATCAGATATTCATATAGAATTTACCTGACACATTTCCAATCATATCATTTTCAATGGATTATCTTATAGCGCAAATTTATTAGACTTCCACATAACAGGAATATGTCAAATTCGTTCAGTGTACTATCCAGCATTTTACGAACGCTTATGGCCGCCAGAATCTGGCTGAGTTTTTGGTAGGGAACATATGATTTGACGTTTGCGTTGTGTCGTTTGACGTGTAAACGTTCAAATTTGTTCGTTTATACGTCAAATTACACAAGCCAAACTTCAAATGTTATGTTCCCTACCAGAAACTCAGCCAGATTGTGGCGGCCATAAGTGATCGTAAAATACTGGATACAATATCATCTGATAGAGACATAGACATTCATCTAGATTTTTAAATCAAGATTTAAATTTTTAATCGTTGACACTAAAGAGTCTGAATTTATACAGAGACGACTTGTCAAAATTGGAACAATCGATTATCTGTCAAAGTCATAAAAAAAAGTCTTTCCAATCGAGCAGAAGACCTGTCAAATGGATAAGATGTCGCCTCTTTATAAATTTAGGCTCTTTAGTTGACACTAAATCCTTGACTAAATCTCGCACTAAATCTATTCGTTGACAGCTCGCTCCCATACAAAGCCCCACCAAGGGGCGCTAAGATGGTGATTTTTGCTAATGTTATCATACTTATTTAAAATATTTCCAGTGTACCAAAAGTGATGAAATTGGGTTCTTTAGGGGGTTTAAGGTAATTTGATATTCTTAATCTGCATCACAAATGGAACCGAAATCCAAAATTTCATCAATTTTGGAGCACTGGAACTGTTTTAAATAAGTGCGATTACATAAGCAAAAATCACCATCTTAGCGCCCCTAGGTGGTACTTTGTATGGGAGTGAGCTGTCAATTTGTTAGTTTTGTGTCAAACAGTGAAGTGATTAGTTTGCTTTAAATCTTGATTTAAAAATCAAGATAGAAGTAAATGGGATAGAGAAAAATATCGTTGTGCTCAGAAAACGAGGCCCTTTTAGATGATGTATAGAAACCGATATATTTTTCAAAATTAAAGAACCCAATTTTGGATTTCGGTTCCATTTTTAATGCAGATAACGAATATGTATTTACCTTAATACCACCAAACAACCCAATTACTCTTCCGTTTTCTTTTCAGCTGCGTATCAGGCATTAAGGAAGAACTTATACGCCTCGTTAAAGGCCCATGCATTAATTATGTCACGCTAAATCGAGCAAAGAATCACCCCCTCCACCCCCCCCCCCCCCATCGTGACGTTTTTTCTATACCTAATGCATTGCTTGTCACAAAATCTTAGACCCCCCCCTCCCCCCTTAGAGCGTGACATAATATATGCATCAACCCTAAGCAAAATAACCATAAACAAATTATAAGTGGAGCTGCATTTTTCAATCATTAATCCCTGCATCGAACCCTCCATGTGTACGGTTTAACGATAAAAAAAGGCAAAACGATAATTTTAAATCATGTCACGCGACAAAACTTGTTGATTTGTTTTGTTGCACGCAGCGAAAGCTTTCATGAAATTTTTTACGGCGTGACGTTTCTTTTGTACGGATGGCGGCAAATAAGAAAAAGCAGCAGTCCAACTGTCATACTTCTTACCTTTACCATTTTCGTCGTTCCCGTTTTCTTGGTTTCGTTGGTCGGTGCAAAGTGGTGTCCAGAAAATCAATGAACTTTTTGTGAAAAATAGCATTTCTACTCCGGTAAAATTGTTTTCAGTTTGTGCAGGAGGTTTTGCATCACCGATCGGTTGTTATTTTTGTGTGAATGTTTAGTGGATTATTCCGCAACGGGAAGTTTTCTGTTCCGTACAGTTTACGTGTCAAACGGCGGTAGCAATTTTTTGCGTTACATTTTTGGAAGTCCTTTTCATCTTGATCCGGATCGATAAATCGGCTGAAATCGTAAGTATCTCCTAGATCTATCGCTATTCATGGGGCAGTCATTGAAAAATTTCCTGGAAAATCAATTTATGATGCAAAAATAAGCAGTGAAAGAAGAGTGAGGTTAGAATGTAATTGAAAGGAAAGAAACTATTATTCACATCATCTAGCTTGAAAACCGGTTCCGAGAGGCTCGTCGCAAAGGAAACGAAAGGCATTCTTGTAGCAGTGCATCTGGGAAGAGCTAGAAATTGCATAAATCATGTCACTGTGGCATTCCCTGACAAGGGTGATAAGCAAACGAGCATAAGTTGTACAAATTTCTCTAAACAACAAGAGCAAGAAGCATAACTTTGTCATAAATCAAGCAATGCTGCCTCTTCTTCTTCCTGAAGAGCACCAACAACCTTCACGGAGCATCATTTTTTAATTCTGATGCTTCCTAAATTTTAAAACTCTCTGTTCAGATGTGTGTTGGTCAGCTAAACGAATGGTAGCACAAAGCATAAAACACTAGAATCACGTAAAGGAAGCACATTGGAATATCGGGTCCGGGATGAGGCTGTCGGTCTTGGGAAGAACGATCCATTAAACAAAAATCGGTTATGAAAGTAAGAAGAAAACTATACTTATGCTTTGAGCTATATCCCTAAGATCTCCTAAGACTACACGAGGATGGGGGAAGTAAGGGAGGGAAGCAAATAATCATAGCAAATATGTATAGCGTAAATTTATAACTCATTTGGTTTAAATGCACTCACACCACACAGCTGGGTGAAGAGGATATAGCATAAGCCTAAAGGGAAGGGTGAAAGTTTTCGGATGTCTAAGCGAATCACAAAGATATCCGTACGAAAGCTTGAATAAATTTCGGACTATGTTTGTAATGACAGCAGTGCCCGGAGAGATTGTAGTCGCCTAGCGCTTGCACATTGTCAGTATCTCGAAGTTCGTCGCAAACCTTTTGAACGGCTTCGGAGTGAGCATCAGAGTACCTATCCGGGATACAATTCGGTCGAAGATTCGGGATAGTTCACTACGATCGCATTCGAAAAATTATACAGTCCTACCGAGTATCTGTGAGTATGAGAACGTCATAGTCACAGGTCGATAGTGTAGCAATCACAGACGGAGCCTTTTTGGAGTCCGAAATAAACGCATCGCCGACATCGCGTCTGACCATCACCTCATAACCGGTGAGATCCGCATATTCATTGCACGGATCCAGCGGAGCCAGAAGTGGCTCGGAGGACGGTTCAACATACGCCGACTAGAAGATCAAGTTGTGAAAAGATCTTTTTGGTGAAGAACTTCTTACCCGAGCAGCGGATGTTCCGGAAGGTGGCAGCGTAGAGCAGTGGACGATCAAGAATGTCTTTATCGAGACGAGTGAGAACAATCTGGGTGAGTTGTGCACTCAGCGAAACGAGTGGATCACTGTTGACACCTGGTGGAAGATTGATGACTGTAGAGTAGCAAAGCATGAAGCCCGTCAACGGTGTTCGCCTCTAGATATGGAAGTCAAACGCTCTTGCAGGCGGGACAAGCGAGCGTGGGTAGACTCCCTGGCTGACGAAGAGGAGAAAGCCGCAACAGCTGGGCAATATCCGCTCCTCTACGATATCTCACGACGCATGAGTGGAGCAAGGATGAATCCGATGATGCCAGTGAAAGACGCGACTGGACAGTTACCGGGAAAAAAACCAGGAATACCACAATGAAAATTCAACGAAAATACCACTCTGTATAAATGCGTCCTTCTTGCAATGTATGGACGACCTGTAGATTAGGGTAAGTGTGTCAGTTTTGGCACTAGCGCTTCAGTTTTTGACCCTAGGGCCTAAATAAAATTTTAAATATGTTTTCATGGTTTTATTTGCAAAATCTATGATCTAACCTTGTATCGAAATAAATTATTAAAGGAATGAAAACATGTGAAATTTAACATAAGGCCAACTAAAAGACCACTCGGGTCAGAGGCAGACAGAGAGGAACGAACAGAAGTGTTTCGAGCGGCCAGGACCGCACTTAAACGAGAGATAAAGCAGAGCGGGTCAAACTGCTTTAAGGACCTGTGTCGAGACGCTGATGCCAAACGCTGGGGCGACGCATAGCGAGTCGTGATGGCGAAGATCAGAGGTCCAACGATGCCCGCTGAAATGTGCCCAGGGAAGCTGGAAGTTATCGTGGGGACAGGGAGATAACACCGAAGTCACCAACGAGAGACTCGTAGCAGTGGCGAAAGTATTGAAGGTGAAGGTAAGATCTCAGTACGGATGGAATCCCCATCGTGGCGTTAGAAGCGGCGGTCCATGCGTGCCCGGACATTTCCAGGATGATGCTGCAGAAATGGATGGACGAGGGTCACTTTCCCTGCCAGATGTGAAGCTAGTGTTGCTGCCGGAACCAGGAAAACCGCCATTGGATACACTCGGAAAACTCTTGGAGAGGATCATCCTAAACAGGCTGACGAAATGCACGGATTGTCGGAGAGGCAGTTCGGACAGTGCTCGAGAGAGAGCCGCGAAATCGATATTGCACCGTGATAACGATCGACGTCAGTAATTCGTTCAACAGCGCCAGTTGGGAGGCCATCGCCGAAGCGCTGCATAGAATGAGGGTCCCTGACTACTTGTGCAGGATCCTGAGGAGTTAGTTCCAAAACCGGGTTCTGCTCTAAGAGACAAACATGGGGCGGAGATCGATTAGAATGTACAAGGCATCCAGAGCATTGGAACGGGATTTACAACGGTGTGCTAACGCTGAAGCTGCCCAAAGGAGTTGAGATCGTTGGATTTGCGGACGATGTCGGCTTGACAGGCGAGACGCTAGAAGAGGTGGAAGTGTTGGCAACCGAGTCGATCGACATGATTGGTAACTGGATGCAAGGAGCGAAGCTGCAGATAGCCCACCACAAAACGGAAGTGTTATTGGTCAGTAACTGTAAAGTGGTGCAGCGTGCAGAAATACCTGGGAGTAATGATCGATGACCGGCTAAACTTCAATAGCCACGTCGAATATGCTTGTGCGAAGGCTTCGAAGGCCATCAACGCGATAGCTAGAATCATGCCAAACAACTCTGGCCCCAGCAGTAGTAAGAGGCGTCTTCTGGCCAGTGTGTCGTCGTCTATACTGAGGTATGGAGGTCCAGCCTGGGTTGCAGCGCTGGAAACTGAGAGGCACGATCCGGCTCATGGCCATGCGAGTCGTGAGTGCGTACAGAACCATTTAATCGGAGGCCGTATGCGTTATCGCCGGCATGATCCCTATCGGCATAACCCTGGCGGAGGACAGCGAGTGCTACAGGCGGAAGAGTACGGAAAGTGGCGAGAGCGGAGTCGTTGGCTAAATGGCAACAGGAATGGAACACGGCGTAGAACGGTAGATGGACACAGAGTAATACCGATTCTTTCAACCTGGGTGAAAAGAAAACACAGAGCAGTCTACTTCCACCTAACGCAGTTATTGTCTGGCCACGGCTGCTTCAGGAAATACCTTCATCGGTTCGGACACGCAGCGTCACTCCTCTGCCCGGAGTGTCGATGAAACGCCGGAGCATGTTGTCTTCGACTGTCCAAGGTTCGAGGTAGTGCGAAGGGAGATCCCCGTCCTTAATGTGAATAATGTCAACAGAGCAGTCACGTAGATTATTTCGGAGCTGCAGGGTAAATGGAACCCACCCTACTGTGTATAGACGATCAAATGTAAAATAATGTGGTCGCCTCAGCATTTTCATTGATCCATAAGTTCATGTTTGGCAAACCGGTAGGGGAAAAGTTGACTTCGGCAATACCTTAACCTATTTTCGTCAGGGGGGTAAACAAAGTCCTAGAGCACTTAAATTTGGTCAATAGTTGCTCTGAAACACAATGTATCCACATGCCAAAATTGAGCTCTCAAGGACGTTGTTTACCCCCCTGACGATAATAGGTTAAGGCATTGCCGAAGCCAACTTTTCCCCTATTTTAAAAGCTCGAATGTTTTGTTTGCTCACTGAAAACGAGATGCGAGACACAGATCTTAAACAGCGGGATTAATTATTCCTTTTTCCATTGCAACTGTCTATGCTGTACTAAAGGGTGATACGGTCAAAATTTGGTCAAGGGAAAACGCGTGTAAATCGGTGAAATCGTTTATTTAAAAAATCAAATTAAATTTCTTTTTCAAGTTCAATTAGTATAAAATTCAGGAAAAATATTCAGTTAGGCTTCCGCTTTTCCAAATCCGAATTGCCAGGCCTTACGCTTGACCCCTGCCATCAGATTTTGTACAGCCACCTTGTCCACCTTCTTCGCCGCAGAAAGCCAGTTTGCCTTGAACTGCTGCTCGCCCTTAGCAGGTTCCGCTTGACAATAGCCCAGTATTTCTCAATTGGGCGGAGCTCTGGCGTGTTGGGAGGGTTCTTGTCCTTGGGAACCACCTGCACGTTGTTGGCGGCGTACCACTCCATGGCCTTTTTACCGTAATGGCAAGATGCCAAATCCGGCCAAAACAGTACGGAACAACCGTGTTTCTTCAGGAAAGGCAGCAGACGTTTATTCAAACACTCTTTCACGTAAATTTCTTGGTTGACAGTCCCGGAAGCTATGAAAATGCTGCTTTTCAAGCCACAGGTACAGATGGCTTGCCAAACCAGATATTTCTTTGCGAACTTTGACAGTTTCATGTGCTTGAAAACATCTGCTACCTTTCCCCTTCCTTTTGCCGTATAAAACTCCTGTCCCGGAAGCTGCTTGTAGTCGGCTTTGACGTAGGTTTCGTCGTCCATTACCACGCAGTCAAACTTCGTCAGCATCGTCGTGTACAGCCTCCGGGATCGCGCTTTGGCCGTCGTATTTTGTTTATCATCGCGATTTGGAGTCACTACCTTCTTGTAAGTCGATAGTCCGGCTCGTTTTTTGGCTCGATGCACGGTTGTAGACGATACACCCAGCTTATTTGCGGCATCTCGGAGAGAGAGGTTAGGGTTTCGCTTGAAACTACCGGCAACTCTCTTTGTCGTCTCAGCGGCTTCCGGTTTT